ACTTTAAAATGATAATACTGCTTGCTATCATTTGTACCTGGAGAGTCCCCAGATTTTCCTGTGTTAAAGGTTTGCTTCTCAGTGTGGTGCTAAAGGGAGATGGTAGTTACTGTTTGAGGCAGGGCCTAGTGGGAGGTTCTTAGGTCACTGGGGTCATGACCACAAAGGGGATTCTGGTTTCCTCCTCTTCCTTTCTCTCTTCTACCCCCAAGGCATTAGATGAATGGTTTTTCCACCGCATACTCCCTGCCTCGACATGACACAAAGTAAAATAAGATAGAAGAGGATCCTTTCAAAAATGAAGGGTGGGAGTGTGCTCTGAGTGAAGAAATAGAATCAACTTAATTCTGTAGTCTTTAGTAGAGGTTTGTGGAGTGGAATTGATCTGGAGCTGGATAACTAACAACTTTAGAGATCCTACTAAGAAATGTGGAGGTTATCCTGAAAGTCATGGGACATCCTAGAAATTTCTGAAAGATGTGCACAGGTATGCATAAAGGAGAGGCTGAGACAGCGTTCCTTTAAAGCATCCCATGTTGCCATGGGGACAACATGGCCAAAGATGACCTGAACCGGGTATGTATAGCTGACCCCACGGCACCATGGTCCTTGAGAGGCCCAGAAATCCCTCCCTCCAGGGAGTTACTCTTCCCTGACTTTTCTGTGCCCAGAGACTTGCCAGAAAGAAGGCTTCAGCACAGACACACAGGTACCACCTTCCAGATGTGACTGTGACAAGCACACAGCTGCCTGCCCTGGTGGCTAAGGACTCCGTGCTGTTGATGGTGCACCTGTGCTCTACAGTACAGAGGCTGTTCAATTAAAACCTCCATGCTAACATGTAGGGATTTAAATTTTTGAGAGTTGTTTTCCATTGGCAAACGACTTACTTCTCATAGACAGCCAGATAGTCACACAGGGATTTCGCTTCCTCTGCCTTTTGCTAAGTCCTCACTTTGCAGATAATTACTAGCTCTGGGGTTTGGGGAAAACCACTCCACCTCCCTGGTGGAGACACTCAGACAAGATGATGATCATTGAAAGCCTTTCAGATAGCAACACTGTGGAGCCTGTGAAGGTGCTTTTTCCAGGTGTGCAAAACACCACGTGTGTTTGTGTTTGGTGTGTGGCACCCAGGGCACAGGTGTGGAGGTGAGGCTCGGGTTGAACTCCTGCATCTCCTGCTTAGCAGCTTGGGAATTTAGTTTATTTGTCTGTAAAAATTGGAGGTTAAAAAGTTCCATCTTGCTGGGAAGAGGAACTGGGATGGGGGAGATGAGAAGGAAAGGGAAGGGGAAGTAAAAAGGATCAAGATGCAATATGTACATGTGGCAATGCCCTGCTGCAAATATAGTTCTTATGTGTCACAAACAGATACTAATGAAAGGTGGAAGTTGCAGCTCACGAGATGAATGCAGAGAGAATGCACCTGTGGACAAGTAGTGCAGGACCTGGCATTTGGAAAGTGGATTCTTTCTCCTCTCCTTCCTTTCTGTGCAGGGAAGCAAATTTGTCAGATATTGCACTGTGGAGATTTACACTGTTGTGACCAAATCTTGCCTATTCAAGAATTTAAGAATAATCTCAAATCTAGTGTCATCTCTAGAAAAAAAAAATCCTAGAAAATCTCAACTGTCTGAGGCTGCTAAACAACTGGGTTTATGATGCTTAGTTTATTTACCTATAATTTTTGGTGGAGGTGAGTAGGAAGAAGCAAAAAATCAAATATATTTTATGGCATCACCTTCTGAGAATAACCTTTCCACTAGACTCAAGATGAAAGAGATAATTCTATCTAAAAATCTAGTTGTCCTAGTTGTTATCTCCTTTATCCTGCTTGGGTGGGGTTTTGCCCTTCCTGCTCTTAGACTATTGGCCAATTCTGATAGCAGGACGAAATTGTGAATATCTTAAACAGGTGCTCTGGAAGGGGGAAAATCCGAGAAAATATCATTCACCTTAAACAATTCTGATCTGATGACTCACCCTTGCTGTTGTAAGGATATTTTAGGATAGCAATTAGTCCTAGCTTCCTAATCCCACAATGAATTTGATTTTTTTTTGTTTGTTTTGAGAGAAGGTTCCTCTATGAGGGTCCCTGAACTCTTAGTTCAGGCTGAGCTTGAACTTGAGATCCTGCTGCCTCATCCTCTTAAGTGCTAGGATTACAGGTATGCACCACCACCTATGCTCTAATTAATTAATTTTGATTGAAATAGCCTCTAAGCAAAATATAATATATAATGAAAGCTAAATTATGGCAAAATAGCCATTGTCATACATAGCTTATAGTAATTAGAATAACCTTTGGAAAAGCAACTTAGCAATTAAGTATTAAGCCTCTAATTATTTGTCCTCTTTGACTGGAGAATACTCTTTCTGGGAATCTGTCTTACTGTAGAGAGGCAGAAAATACATTTAGGAAACAGATACATATACAAGTAAGCTTATCATGGTGTTATTTTATAATAGTAAAAGAAATATGGGGAACAACCTAGTAACATGAACTGAGCAGTTATATAAAATATGGTACATTCACCAGATGAATAGATCTGTTTCCAAAAGCTGAGTATTAAAGCATTTATGCAATCTTATCAAAATTGCATCTTTTAAAGGCATGAGATTGCTAAATTGCCCAGACTGGGGTTGAACTTATAATCCTACTGCTCAGTTTACCAGAGTGCTGGGCTTACAGGATGTGCGTAAACACACCCAGCCATTTTTTTAAGGGGCATTTGTTTTTTTTTTACTATTTTTAAAATATGGAACACTTCACAAATCTGCATGTCATCCTTGTGCAGGGGCCATGCTAATCTTCTCTGTGTCATTTAAATTTTAGTATATGTTTTGCCGAAGTGAGCACTATTTTTTTAAAAGACAAGCAAAATATGAAGTCTCCAAAATTCAATAAGTCCCGAAGCAAATACACCAAATTGTGATAGTGTCTGGTTTTTGGTAATAAAAGATGTAGAGGGACTTTTCTTTCTCTGTGTTCATATTATTTTCAGGTTCATCCTAAGGGCTTTCCCAACCAGTTAAAATAATAACAGTAAAAACATTTATTATATAAGGAAGTAAACAAGCCTAGAGACACCATATAGAATCTTTAGTTTTGGGCGATGGCTGAGAATAGAATAATTCCTATTTTACAATAGATTGTTTCAATTCCAAAAGCAGGATGGGGCTGGCTGGTGGGGAGCCTAGCTATGCATCCCCTCTTGTCCTCAAGCTTGCTGTTTCCTCCCCGGGAACTTGGAGAGGCCTGGAGTCACTTTTCCCAGGGGTCCTGACGTCCTGAAGCTGGGCATCCAGTGCTATGGGGTCCTCATGCAGTACTGACTGTACATGTAAACAAAAGTTGAAACACACTGACATTTATTAAGCATGTCCCTGCACTGGCACCGTACCTTTCCCAGGCTAGCAGAAGCTCTCCTAAAAGGAACTATTGTCTCCTTCCCCCTCCCCCATCCTTCTCTCTCCTACCCACACTGAGAATGCCTTTTAGGAATATAATTGATTTGGATGAAAGCAAAAATGGACACCCTGGGCTGCCCTTTGTTAGAAATAAAGCCTCTCCGGGCTGTCTGAGGAGTTGGCGGCAAACAGCTTCAGGTGGTCAGGGCAGGGAAAGTTCTAGAAGCAGAGCACAGAACACCCCCATGGGCCTTCTCTCTGTGATGTGGCTTGTTTGCGTTACAGGCTTCAAGCATATTTGCTGACGTCAGCAGCCCATCAAAGTTTAAAATAATAACAGTGAAAAGGAAAACAGCTCTTTTCTGCCAGGCAGCCTCTTCTGCCAACTTCTGCCTTCTTTTCTGAGTTAATAAACATCCAAGAACCACCTCTCCTCCCACCCTGGGGGGAAAAGAAGCACAATAATTTGAAAACCACCAGGTCAGCCCACTGCCAGCAGAAGCCCTTCAGACAAGTAGCATTTGTCATACATGACTTAGGATTTTCCCTCAGCCTCAAAATGAAAACTATTGTTGTCTTTGTGTTTATGGGATCGAACAGTTGAACACAGTGAGTTTCTTCCTCATTGTTATCATGCTCAAGACCAAATATGTGGACGTTTCTGAATCAGACATAACTTTAAAAAAAAAAATCATTATTCCAAGTAAGGCCTTTTGAAAACGTCAGGTTAGAAAAGGGCCTTTACGTCTGGTTTTACTTGACAATCTGAAAACAGGTACCCGTGCTATCATACCATGGCCGTGGCGGTGGAGGTGGGGCCATCCCTCAGAAGGAGACAGTGCCGCCGGCGCCCTGAGGAGGTCAGGAGATGTGGCAGCACAGACACAGAGAGGATCTGCGTCTCAGGAAAGCCAGACCTCTAAAGTTATCTTCACATGCAGTGCTGAAACTGTAGCCGGCCTCTCGACAGCTAGGTTGACTGCAGCTCCTGCACCAAGCTGGCACTGCACACACACCCCACTGTTGATACCTCCTCAGGACAGATTAGATCCTGCATTCCTCAGAAGTACTGAGCTCCGGAGGGAGACCAGCCAGCAGCCTCCTTCCACAGGGCCAGCAAGCAACTACCACTGCTAAGTCTTAGTTGAAATAATCGCAACAATACCCCTGAGTGCTAAGTAGCTCTTTCGTCAGCTTCTGAGAAAGTGTCCCACTGCATGTCCCCCAGCAGGGCACGGGTGTGTGCCAGACAAGGGTAGTTAAGGCCTCAACTCACTTCCATATGCTTTTATCCACGGCTATGCGCTGGGGTTAATCCACTTGTTCACCCAAGGTGTATTATGAGACTTTTTTTTTTCTTATTGGCCCCTTTCTAGTAAACCTTGACGTTTATACTACTTCAGTTTCAGTTTGAACAAGTAACTCACCTCTGACCAAAGATACTGAAGTTAGACTTGGGTTTGGGTAAAATGAGTTGAGGTCATGGTTAGCTTTAATTACAGAGCTCCCTTTAAAAGATGAACATCATGCAAAGAACTTTGCTCTCAAGTTTTAGTTTAAACCAGGGTGTTCGTTAAAACAGCACATTTAGTGTGGAAAGTGAGTTCTGCAACTCCCTTTTTATTTATTTTTTTCTGAAATAACAGCGATGGAGTCAATGAAAGTGCAGTATGAACTAAAGGACAACACACCTGCCTCTCAAAGAACAGATACCAAAGGGCCCAGATTAAATTTTAACCAGGGATTATGTTTGCAAGGAGTTTAGATCTCACATGGGTTATGTTTGGCTTCTGTCATAATAAGAGGTTATTTTGGAAAAAGGATCCCATTTTAACATATATTGAATTTACTAGGCAGAAATACAGATTTAAACTTCGATACAGTTTAGCCTTTGAATGAAAATAAAAGGCAAATAATTCAATAGATGGGTAATTCCCCAATCTGAGGAAAAGTAAACAGCCAGGATTTTGGTGCCTATGGGTTTTATCAAACGCGTTCAATAAGGCTGAGACCAACACCAGTGCGTCCTCTTTGGCTAGTTTTAACACGTTCACAGTCACAGTTAACATTCAAGGAATTTCCTTTTCATCCAAGTGTTTCTCTTAAGAGCACTTTATGCCACCAACTAATATAGTTCTAGCTGCCATCGGTCCTGCCCATACAGAAGAGTGGTGAAATCTCCATAATACTTTTTTGTTTTGTTTTTCTTTTCCGTTTTGAAAATGGGCTTGGACCACGTCAATTTCCCAGGGGTGTTTGTTTTCCAAGGGTGGGGGGTCCTACAGAGCTTGGAACGGAGCCCAGCTTTCTCGTCCCACACTCACCCTGGAGCGAGCGGGACGCCGCTGCTGCCTGCTGCCCGACAAGCGTCCCCAGCCCTCTCCATTGCCCGGGTCAGATCTCAGATCGGAGGGCTGCAGCCTCAAAGGAGTTCCTGGCTCCCTGAAGCCTGGTTCAAGTCCCTGAGCCGCCCGGCCAAGGACGCTGCAAAACAGAAAGATACGTGCGTCTCCCTCCTTGCTCCTCCTACACGAGGGATTCGCACACCGGCACCGAGTCCGAGTCCTGGCTGTGCATGGAGCTCAGCCCCGTGTCTGAGTCCTCGTCGTTGCCAGGACAGCTCTTGGCTAGTCCGCGGGCCTGGTCCACCCACACCTCGGCACAAGACTTAGGCCCGGGTTCCCGCGTGGGTGTGCAGCGACCTGGAGCCCCATCCCGCCCCACCGCCGGTTCCAAAGTGTGCAGAGTCTGGAGAAGGCCCTGCAGCTCGCGCTCCTTGCTGTCCCACTGCTGCTGGCTGTAATCCAAGTCCGCCTTGACGGCCTCCAGGTCCGTGTTGAGCCGCAGCCCAATGTAAAGGCTGGTGCTGAGCTGTGTCCTGACCCGCTCCTGCTCCAGCAGCAGCTCGCCGTCCGGGCCGCCGTCGGGCTCCGGGGACTCCTCGCGCGCCGCCAGCTCCTCCTTGCGCCGCTCCATCCACCTCTGGTTGAGCTCCTCCTGGATCTCGGTGGAGAGGCGCTCCAGCAACTCCTCCTGCTGGGCCCGCTGCTCCTGCAGCTGCAGCAAGTCGTCGCAGCGCCGGGCTAGCTCCTCTAGCGCTGCAGTCTGTGCCTCGCCGTCCAGGGCTGCAGCCGCCATCGCCTCCTTCTCTGGCTCCTCTTCCGGGGTGGGCCCGTCCAGTTCGACGCCCACCCCCACCAAGTAAGTGTCCTGCACGTAGTTGACCCCGTGCCGCCGCATGCGGTCCAAGTGCACCTTGGCTTCGTAGCGGTCGATCTCGCGGTCCAGCTCCCGGAGCCGCTGCACCTGCTGGCGAATGGTGTGGTCCTGCGACAGCACCAGGTGCACCAGCGTCTCCATGCGCTCCACTGATGCGCTCTCTGGAGCACGCGGAGGCGGCGAGTAGGACGAGGTTGTGGACGACGACGCGGACGAACAGGGCGACGGCGGCTGCAGCTGGCGCCGCCGATTGAGCTTGGCCAGCTTGCGGAAGGCCTTGCGCACCACCCGCCGCTGTTTCTCCTGGGTCATAGCCACGCTGGGCCGGACCGGGGCTCCGCGGGCCAAGCAGGGGCGCTCCCGGCTGAGCACCACCCGCGCCTCGGCGCTGCGCGGACCCGCGTTGGGCAAAGACGCCTCGCTGCGCACGAGTACGAAGCGCACATTCTCTTGCTCGTCGCCCCAGGCGGCCCAGAGGCGCAAGATGCGCGTCTTGTTGGGCAGGATGCGCTCAAAACCGCGCCACTTCTCCACGATGCAATAGCATTGCGGGGGCCCACACAGCATGCCCTGGGGCAGCGCATCGTCATCATCCTCGTCGTTTTCGTCCGGGGGTTCGGGCAATTCCTCCTGGCCGGGCAGGTCACCGGCCGTCGCTCGTCGCTGGCCCCGCCGCTGCCTCCGTCGCCGCCGGCAGCCATCCTCCAAAAGCACGCGCACCACGTCTGAGCAAGTGGTGCGGCGGGACAGGCCGGACACCAGCTTCTCCTCCTGACAGATCCACACGGAGATCTTCTTCTCCGCAGAATCCATGGCGCAGTCTGGACGCCAACGGCAGGTCCAGCCCGCCCTGCTGGGGCAGCCCTGGGATTGCAGAATCCGTGGTTCTGTCCCCGGCGACGCTGGCCTCTCTCTCCGGCTGCACTGGGAAGGCGAGCGCCGGCGCTGCCCTCGGCCCGGACGGCTGGCGCTCTCAAGCCTGTGCGCCCTGGCTGGAGCTCCCGCCGCTCTGCTCTCCCCACGGTGCCCGAGGCCTCTGGGTTTTGCTCCTCCCCGCGTGGCTCCACCCCTTCCCGCCCCCAGTGCCCAGAGCTGCGCCCGGGAGCCCCGGAGGCGCGGCGCGGAGACTCGCCCCTCCCAGCCTCGCCGTGCCCCGCCTGCGTCTTGCTCAGGTTGCTGGCGTCCTGGGTCCAACTCAAAGCTTCTCTGCGAGCCGGTGCCAGAGGGACATGGGGATGTCTCCACTGCAGTACCTGGAGCTCGCGACTCGAGAGTATCCGCTGTGCTGAGTCTCCCTCTGCCTGCTGGCCCCGCCCCTTTCCTCCAGCGGTGGCGGGACGCACTTTGACCACCAAGAACCCGTAGATCTGACTCTGCTCCTTCAGGGTATCGTCGGCTGAGGAGTGCACTTTGCACAATTAGGGAAACTGAGGCATCCAGTGGTCTCTAATCGAGACCCTGTAATCGCGCTGTCGAGCTCGGACCTCCACTCTTCCTGACCGGGAAGAAATATTTGCATGTTTAAGCAGGAAGAGAAGCACCGGCGGGCTCCGTGAGTTTGTGTAGGCTAAGGGTCCAGGCTGGAGGGAAACCTAGAGAGGTGGCTCCCAGTTCCCCGCGGGTCGTGCCTGCGGAGCCCCGCAGCACTTCTACCCTGGCCCTTCTTGGCAGGGAAACTCCTGACTGTAGTGGGAGTTTGGGTCCTAGACCCCAAGTTACGTGCTCTTTTAAGCGTCCCACTTCCATAAAGAGAAACTGTGGTCATTACCTTGACGGTTTCTGGCGTTTCCTGGTATCCAGATGTGGTCCAGATGAGATAAGAGCCACGTTTCACAGCACACCAAATGCACAGCCACCATGAAGTCCTGCCATCCCAGCTGCCTGTGAGGGCCGTCCCCGGCGTGCAAGGCTTGCTCCGAGCTGGTCCCGAAAACACAGAGATGATAAGCTTTCCCCTTGCTTCCAGACCTTGGAGGGCTCCTCCTTGCTTCTTGGGTCGATTCACTGATTCATTTAGTAAGTGTTTAGTGGGTTCCTATTGTGCTCCACGTCCTGAGCTACGGATTCGATGGTGAACAAGTCCCCGTTCCTGGCCTGCAAGGAGCTCACCCTCTGGGGAGCAGCACGGATGAGTAAACATTTTTAATACAGTGTCTCCCAAATTCTGCTAAGGAAGGAGAGGGCGTGCAAGGAGAGCTTACAGATACTGCAGTGGCGTCCAGCCCCATCGGGGACAATCAAGGGGCCACTAGAGGCCACCAGGATATGTCACATAACACTTTTTCCTACAGTTCCTTGAGTCCATAATGTTAACTGAAGTAAATCAGACACATGAGCTTAAATATCACATGGTTTCTCATATATTAGAAACCCAGTATATACATAAAGTGCAAAATAAGAGACCAACAATGAAAAGAAAAGAAAGAAAACAAGTTCTTGTAATCCAGCATGGACCATGTATCTAAAATTGTGTCTTGGGCCTTACATCTTGGGCAGATCCCTAGCACCACCTGTGGAAGGGAAGGTAGATGGAGCGGAGGGTAGAACACATTCCCAGTGGGGAGGAACCAATTTGCATTTCCAGGGAGATGAGGGAACAGGCAGTTACTGGGACTGTGAGGAGTTTACGTGAGATGTGTGCCCAACAAAAGCTGAGTGGTTGAACAGGAACCGCATGAGGAAGGAGCTGTATTTGAATTTATCCCAAGGATAAGAAGTTACTGTGTATATAGATGCTGGGGTCAGACAGGTTGTTTACATAGCTATGACCTTAGAAAAAGTGTTTACTCTCTCTGAGCCTCAGTTATCTCATCTATGAAATGGAGGTAATAAAAATACTTCCCTAACAGGACTGTTGCAAGGGTTAGATGCCTGGACCTGGTAAGCCCACAGGGGTTTTATGGGAGAGTGGGAAACCCGGGAGGTATGTTAGTTTTCTATTGGTTGGGCTGACTTTTTTTTTTTTTTTCGGTACTGGAAATCGAACTCAGGACCTCATGCTTGCCAGGCAGGCGCTTGTGCCACTGAGCTATATTCCTGGCCCCTTAGTTTCCTATTGATATCTTGTAAACTACCACAAACTTGGTGGCTTGAGACAACACCTATACATGATTTCACACTGTTCTGTTTGTCACAAGTCTTGCTTGGTGTGGCTGCTGGATGCTGTGCTCAGCTTATCCCAAGCCAAAGGCAAGATGTTGGCTGGTTTGAGTTGGAGGGGAAAATTCACTTTAAAACTCATTTATATTGGTTTGGAATCCACTTCCTTTCAGTTATAGGACTTAATCCCCATTTTGTTGTGGTTGTCAGCAGAGTCTCATCTTCTAGGGGCATTTCAGTCCTTTCCATGTGCCCTTCCCCATTTTAAATCAGCAAAGGCAGGTCAAGTTCATCCAGTCCTCCTGTGCATCCAATCTCCCTAGTGTCCTCTTCCTGCTTCTGGCTGGAGAAAACTTTGCCTTTAAAGGGCTTGCTTTGCCAGGTGTGATGGCTCCCACAGGTAATCCCTCCAGGAAGGTATAAGCACTTTGGGAGTCAAGCAGAAGACGGTGAGTTTGATCCTAGTCAGGGTGACTCAGAGAGATCCTGCCTCAAAATAAAATGAAAAAGTTTTAGAAGACGCTGGGGATGCAGCTCAGTGTGAAGGCCCTACGTTCAAGACCCAGTACTGCAAAACAAACAAATAAACAAACAGCTTGCTTCATTAGGCAAGCCCACCTGGATACTTCATTTTGAGGTCAACTGATTAGCTACCTTAACTACTCTGCAAGAACTCTTTTTCTGTGTAATGTAACACAGCAACCAGAGTAATACCAGGGGGTAGAGATCGGCTTAGAATTCTCTCCAGCACAGGACATAACACAGTGAGATTTTCACTCTTAGAAGATCATTGTTTGCATTGGGAACAATTGGTAGGAGTGGGGTGGGGTAACCCTTTAAAAAACCTTCCCCAACCTCTTTGGCACCAGGGACAAGTTTTGTGGAAGAAAATATTTTCACAAAGAGGTGTTGGAGGTTGGGGATGTTTCAGAGGAGCACATGACCTAGATCCCTCTCCTGTGCAGTTCACAGTAGGGTTCTTGCTCCTCTGATCTGCCAGGAGGTGGAGCTCAGCGCACAGTGAGAGCTTTGGGGAGCAGCTGTAAATGGAGATAAAGCTTCAATGTTCATTTCCTGCTATGTAGACCAGGTCCTAAGAGGTCAGGGACCTGTATCTGTGGCCCTGGGCTTAGGGACTCCTGCTTTAGAGAACTGTCACATTCATTTAAGGAAGAGGTGGTGGCCTGTACTGAGCAGGATTGGACAAAATTGAGAGCTATCAAGGAGGTGGGAGAAGCAGGACTTGGTGACAAACTGAGGGGTCTCCTGTCCCTGGCGTGATGGCAGACATCTTTGCAATCTGAGCCAGCCCTCCACCCCCAACTCCTCCCTCACATTGCTAGGTTTTGCTTTCTCCTTTCCTTGAACACGTGCTTGTCAGAGCTCCATAATCAGCTGCCATCCCTAGTGGATTTTAAGCTCCACAACGGTGGAGATCATATCTGCTTTGTTTACCTTTGAATCCTCTGCATTTAGCACAATGCCTGACACATGCTAGGTTTTCTCAGTAGCTGTTCAATACATAAATGGTCAAGGAAGGTACCCTGCATTTAACAATTCAATACCTCCCTAATCCGGAACAGCTCCTGCATCCTCATGCGTCTGTGCTGTCCCTGCTAGTTAGGATGCCCCTTAAAACCTTTGAAAACTCCTACTCATCCTTCAGAAGCTCAGCTCAAAGCCCACCTGCCCTGCACTCCTTTCTTTCCTCCTCCAGGAAGAACTGAGTTCTCACTTTTCTCCTGCCTGCACTGATGCAGAGGTTTCATTGTTGCCGTGGGTTTTTTAATGTCTGTTTACCCAAATGAGACCGAGAGCCTTGCAAGAAAAAGGGCTGGCTCTGTCTTACCTGTATGTCAGTCTTCAGGGCCTAAGTGCCCCACATACGGGGGTTGGGGGAGCTCTCAAACTTTTCCTGTGCTCTCTGGCACACTAAGATACATAATTAAGATGCTCCCCTCACAGCAACTTCCTTTTAGGGAAGGACAGATATGTGAAATCCCTGTGCTAGGAAGGGTACAGATGAAACTTCTGCCAGGCTAATTAAAGGGTAGAATGATTGATGGGTCCTGGGAAGGTTGGAAAAGATAGAGCTTCAGTAAATGAAGAGGAGAGGGTGAGGACACGTGTGGCGGGGAAAAGGACATGAATTAAAATGTTAAGAGGAGTGTGCGTCTGGTCATGTATCAGTGTTTCAGGGCCCCATTCTGGAGTCACTTTGCTTAAACTTGGATGCCAGCTTGAGGCTCTAGGAAGACACAAGGCCGCTGTCTCCTATACTCTCACTCAGCACTCAGCACAGCAGATGCCCATGACCAGATGTGTGTGGGGTTTCCCCACCCACCAAGCAATCAATTCTGCAGCAGCCACCAGCTGGGCATCTTCTAATTCAATTTCATTCTGACGCTACCGGGCTGGGGATTTAGCTCAGCAGCACAGCGCCTGCCTGGCAAGCGCGAGGTCGTGAGTTTGATTCCCGGTACCAGAAAAAAACAAAAAACAAAACAAAAACATTCTGACACTGTGTACCTAGAGACAGCATCTGATCCCACAAACGTAGCGCTCAGTCCCTAAGGCTGTGCTCCCTTACATCAGCTGCCAGTCACACGCTCCATCTTGGTGTATCTGTCAATCATGGTTCCCACATCCCCCCTTCCAGTCTGATTAGCTTGCTCTTTAGCACATGAAGCTTAGGGAAATGCTTAAGTTTGCTAATTTCTTACAAAGGATATTATGAAGGTGACCAGTGAACATCAGATGAAGTGATGAATGGGACAAATGTGGGAGGAAGGGGGGGAATTCCCATGCTTTCTCCAGGAACATCACCCTCCCGAACTCTCTATGTGTCCAGCTACCCACTGCTCCCCAAACCCTGACCTTTTGGGTTTTATGGGCGCTCCCCTCTGTAGGCAGGATAGTGAAGCCATTGCATCAGTGACCAAATTAACCTCCCACCTCTCTCCTCTGCCAGGAGGTTGA